GTTTTTTAAAAAAAAACAACAACACAAAAACTTATTGAATTTTCTTCAGGGAGCATAAATCTGGACTGAAGGAGGAGGAAGGTGAAGGATTATAGATTGTGCGGGTGCTGCAAGTAACTTGGGGGCATGAGGAACTTGGCATCCTTAGACCAAAGATTGCACCTACTTGTCTCACAGCTGTGTACTTTTTGCTTCACCAGCACCATGTCTTTGGAACTCACTGACCCCAGGTATTGAAAAGGACCCAGTGCCTTCCACTTTTAAAGAAATCCCTGAAGGCATGCCTGTTTTCACAAGTCTCTTCCAGCTGACTAACTGGGGTGTTTAAATCTTCCCTTATCCTTAAATTCTTTCCTTAAATCTGTTTAGTCAAAGTGTAAGTCCAAGGGCAGGGTTCTCTCTCTCTCTCTCTCTCTCTCTCTCTCTCTGTGTGTGTGTGTGTGTGTTTTAAATTAAAAATATTTATTGTTCTTTTTAATGGTATGCTTTAATATGGTGCCTTGTGCTTTTTTAGCCAGTTATGCAATAACTAATAAAAAAACAAACAATTTTCAGTAGAGAACGGATCACCACTCTGGGAGCCTTGTCAAAAATGATTTAAACAAACAAACAAACAAACAAACAAACAAACAAACAAACAAACAAACTCTCCACCAGCTTAGATAGGCACATTAACTGTCTTCCTGCCTTCTTTTATAGCTTCTGTCTTATAGCTTAAAGGTAACGGGACCCCTGACTATTAGGTCCAGTCGTGACTGACTCTGGGGTTGTGGCGCTCAATCTCTCTTTACTGGCCGAGGGAGCTTCCGGGTCATGTGGCCAGCATGACTAAGCTGCTTCTGGCGAACCAGAGCAGCGCACGGAAACGCCGTTTACCTTCCCGCCGGAGCGGTACCTATTTATCTACTTGCACTTTGACGTGCTTTTGAACTGCTAGGTGGGCAGGAGCTGGGACCAAACAACAGGAGCTCACCCCGTCACGGGGATTCGAACCGCCGATCTTCCGATCAGCAAGCCCTAGGCTCTGTGGTTTAGACCACAGCCCCATCGAATGAATCTATAATAATAGGAAATGCTCTGAAGCTCAATGTGAGTCATTTTAGCTCCTGTTGATGTGCTTCTATCTGGTGGGAACCTGGAGGAGAACACATATTGTCACTGTTTGCCCAACCCTCAGGTTCATTCGGTTTACTTCCTTCTCTTTGCAACGTGTCGCTTTCTACAACTTCCTTACTCCGCCAATCACCTTGAGAGGCAGCTCCCGGTAACCAGGCTGGAGGCAGTGCAAAGGTCCAGGGCTGCTTGAAAAGGGCTTTGGAAGTGAAACCGGGCATTCAGCTCACTGTGAGTCAGTTTGCTTGGGGGAGAAAAACAGCATATGGTCAACATGGCTCAAAGGTAAGAGAGGGTTGCATGTTTTGGCATTACGCTGCCGCCCTGTGCACTGGGAACAACTTAAGCTTGAAGAATCACAGGTACGGTCCCAGGGACACTTGGAAAAGTGTAGATATATTATCTAATCAGCATGCAATGCACTAACAAACTATATCCTAGGTAGCAATGTCTCTGATAAGCGCCAGCAAATCATACGCTTAGCAAATGCAAATTGCATTCCCTAGCTATAACAGATAGTTTACTTAACTTCTACGTTGTGTGTACTGTACAATTAAACTGAAGTTTCGTTTTCCCTAGCCAAGTGCAGCTCTGTTTATAGAATAGTACTATTAATTGTTACAGTTACAGTTCAGTCAACAGGGCTGAAATGGGAGGAAATTAAAGTACAGCCACAGGGCACTTAGGCATTTATTTAGAGCCAGTAACCATGGCTGAAACAGTGAATGTTAAGAAATCTTACAGGTGTTTAAAAAGAGCTTTAAAGGCAAAATAATATCATGAAGGTGCATAACCAGGTTTTATTAAAAGAAAAGAAAAATCTGCTGTGGCTTTTTGCAAAGTAGATCTTAGGGTTTTAGAACTCTTATGCTGAAATGAGCCTTCTATCTGCCGGCTTCCAGTGTTTATACTCTGGCAGTAATTTTCCAGAAAGAAGACATGCATTTTCTGAGAGGGGGAGCTTTTCCCCAACTTACTCAACAATTTATAGTTTACTATCTGCTCAGTGGTGCAAATATGACACCACACAAGCTGCAATTCTGTTGAAATCACTGAGACTTACCTCTGAGCTGATAAGCACAGGATTGCTGTCCATCAAGTTATTAAGGAAGACTTTCATTCTTTATAGACAGAGCAGGGTTTTTATTGTGTCATTTGCTGAATGTGTGGTAAGTCAATAGGTTATGATTGTTCTTCCTTATTTAAACAATTAGACCAAGGCAGGTGTACAGTATTTTAAGTCAAACTTATTTTTAGCATTTGTAGAAGATGTGCCATTGGAACATCTGGCCACACTCCTTTTTGTCTTTCAGATTATCATGACCTTTTGTGACTGTCTTTTGATTCCTTATGCCGCTAAAGTTGTCCTAGAAGGCTCAAATTCTATACATGCTTACTTGGGAATTTGCCTTTGAGTTGACATGTATAAGATTGTACTAGAAATGGAGTCAACATTCGACTGTAGGGACACCAGTAAAAAATTAATAGCAAGAAAAGGAAGCAATGGTGTGTGTGTGTGTGTGTGTGTGTGTGTGTGTAGTCTTGTCACGATTCTGAATATATCACACCACAAATAATTCTATATTCTGCCTATGGGACTGCAGCTCAATGAGAATTGTTTTCATATGAGTGGAAAGTCATTATATCTATGAGTCAGAGAAAACCATGAATTAGTTGGGGGGTGGGGGGGTGAGACTTCTATACTTAGGTCTGCAAAAGCTGTCCAAAGTTGGCACTCACCATTTCTGATTCTGCCTCCCCTCAAAGTTCCCAGTTCTTCCTGTACTTTTAGATGGTGTTACTGGGGGGCGGGGAGGGGGCGGAATGAGTTTTCACACATTTGCCTTAAATATGAATTTCTCACATTCTGAGAGAAAATATTATTGTATGCACCTTACATCTGACTGATGATAAAAGCTGGCAAAGAGGTTATGCTAGATTTGAAGGAACATTCACAGTGCCATATATGAGGCCCCTGAAAAGGATGCAGCAGCGTTCATATGGCAAAAAATACACCCCATGTTTGATGAGCCTCTCGTGAATTTGGAGATTGGAAACAGGTCTGTGGAAGTGAAGAAGAGGCCGGTTCATTGTGTCAGGCTTGTTAGTCTTGCGCAGGGCTGGGCAGACCCCTCTGGTTGCTGGAAGGCCAACGTTTTGCAGGCCACATTGACAAGTGGGCAGAGCTACCCTCCTGTCAATCCCCTGCCGTCATATGATGTCAGCAGGCTTAAGCTTCAAGCTGTGGCGTCAAAGAAAAATTCAATTCCCATCAGTGTTTGAATGATTTTGTAATGCAACTGGCTTAAATGTCCCGTACAGGAAAGGCATGCCTGGCTCACCAGAAGTGGTCTGGCGGTACAACCTCACAAGTGTGGTGGGCCTAATTTGGCCCACAGATGAGAGGTTCCTCACACCTGGTCCCCTGGCACAATTCTTGTCCTAGCTGCGAAAAGTCTTCAGGGCTGATGTCCAGACAAGGCTCTGTTCCGGGGTGGGGGGTGGGGGAGAGGGTCTGCACCTCTGTGGCTCCCATGTTTCTGACACGAAGTCTGAACTGGCATGCCACTTGGTTGTCAACAAGGCTCTAAGTTCATGCAGGCTGCAAGAAACTATAAGTGGAATGAGGCACAGCCAATTGGCAAATGAGGTTGCCAATTGCAAAAAAAGAAAAAAGAAAGCCATATTGAGGAACATATTTTGAGCCAAAGGATAGGAGTTACCGTATTTTTCGCCCTATAGGATGCACTTCTTCCCCTCCAAAAATGAAGGGGAAATCTGGGTGCATCCTATGGGGCAAATGCAGGCTTTCGCTGAAGCTTGGAGAGCGAGAGGGGTCGGTGCGCACCGACCCCTCTCGCTCTCCAGGCTTCAGGAAGACATCCGCAGCCTAGGCAGCCCTGCGGGAGGTCCCGCAGGGCTGTCTAGGCTGCAGATAGCAGCCTGCTTCCCGGAGCGCCAGGTGCCCTGAAAGCAGAGCGCCCGGCGCTTTGGGAACATATCTGCAGGTCCCGCAGGGCTGACTAGGCTGCGGATAGCAGCCTGCCGCCCGGTGGGCGGGGCGCCCTGAAGCAGAGCACCCTGCCCGCCAGACAGACATCCGCAGCGCGGGGAGCCCTGCAGGAGTTCCCCGCAGGGCTCCCCACGCTGCGGATAGCAGCCTGCCGCCCGGCGGGCGAGGCGCCCTGAAGCAGGACGCCCCTCACGCCGGGCAGACATCGGCCAGCCCCACAAGCTCGGGGGACAGCAGGGAGGCGCAGCGCCGCCATCCCGCTGTTCCTCGACCTGGTTCTGTTTCCCCAACCTGCTTTTGGGGGGGAAAGAAAGGGGAAAAAATTTCCTTTATTTCCCCCCCAAAAAACTAGGTGCGTCCTATGGGATGAAAAATACGGTAGCTGATTCTGCCTAAGCATGAAAAAGCACTTTCAGCACATTTGCACAGCTCTTGATGGGGTGCTTTTGGTTTCCTTCTCTGGTTTTGAAGGGAGGCCTTGAAAGGGTGCAGAGGTGTCACTGCTGCTGGGCTGCAGGAGGGGGTCAAACCCACGAGAGCAGCCTCTGTGAAATAGCTCTTGGGGCAGGGTAGTCCTCTCTCTGTGCTCCACCAACCACACGCCATTGCTCTCCCCAAGCCAGGAATTGGCTATCTGATCCATGTTTGTGTTGATTTTGAATCCCCCCCCCCGCTTCTCTGCCTATGTTTATTTGCAGGCAGATTTTGAATCACGAACTCTCCAAGCTTTTCAATGAGCTCTGGGATGCTGATGTGAACCGCTTTGTGCCTGGAAAAGACTATACCATTTCCTTACAGGTATCAGTTATATGTGTCACTATGCTTTAGCTCTCCAGTCTTCTCCCCAAAAGTGAGCATTGGCTGTGCCAGGAAGACCCACCCTCTCCGACTATCCCCACACTCTGGTGTCTGTGCATATGGCGTGAACATCCGCAGGGAGGGCATTTTGCGCATTCAGCCGCGCCACTGAAGGCTCCTTCCTTGTAGACACCTGTGCTGAAACCATGTGAGCCTGTAGGCTGGGCTGCTTGCCACATAGGAACATGTGAGTAAAGCATATGAGCAGAGCTTACGTAAAAGATACAGGGAGTTATTATCTGTATTTTGTATTTTACATTTCCCCCCATAACCCAAGTTTGTCAGGGGCTGGAGTCAACAAGCAAAATAACTTTTCAGATATCTCACCTAAAACTGCAGCACACATCCATCATAGTTCCACATTTTGCTTACAGGGGAAAGCTGGTTATGTACCGCAGGGCAGTAATGCGGCCAGAGACAGTGCTTCTGAACCGTTGTTTTGCAGCGTAAATGAGCAACGTCTGAAGAACACGGAAACTTATTCAAGTAAGGCTCCTCCCTTGAAGTTTAACTGTACAGCACACCCTTCTTCCATTCGAGGGAGATATTTAATACAGAGGACCCTAAGGTCCATGAATAATAACAGCTTAAAGGTCCCGGGCCCTAAGGAAGCCAGACTATCCTCCACCAGGGCCAGGGCCTTCTCAGTGGTGGCTCCGACCTGGTGGAATGCTCTGTCCCACGAGACTAGGGCCCTTCAGGATTTAACCTCCTTCCATTGGGCCTGTAAAGGTAAAGGTAAAGGGACCCATGACCTCCGTCAGGCCTGTAAGTCAGAGCTATTCTGCCTAGCCTTCAATTTGAATTAGCCTGATCCTCTATTCCCTTTCCCCTTTCCTCTTCTATGAAGAAACCCTTCTGGGACCCCAAATTTAAACTCTTCCCTGGTCTTCTTGCTGGCCCTAGTAGGACCAACTTGGCCAGCTAGCCCTGGTGATCATTTGGTGTTTACTGATTAGGGGTTTCCCCCCTCAAATGACCCCTGAATTTTTAATTTTTATTGTTATTGATGCTGACTTTATGTTGTCTTTTATGCTTATTTTAAGTCACATTTTAATCAATGTTTTATATTTGCTGTAAGCCGCCCTGAGCCCGGTTTTTAAACTGGGACGGGCGGGGTATAATTAACAAATTATTATTATTTATTAATTTATTATTAATGTTGATTTTTATTAGCAAAAACCCAGACTCCGAGAGAGGGGCAGCTATGAGATTGCCCAAACAGCCAAACTACAACTCTCATGATTCTTTGGAGAAAACCATGCCGATTAAAACGATATAAATAAGCCCATATATCAATATAACCATACCAGTAAAGGTACCCCTGCCCGTACGGGCCAGTCTTGACAGACTCTAGGGTTGTGCACCCATCTCACTCAAGAGGCCGGGGGCCAGCGCTGTCCGCAGACACTTCCGGGTCACGTGGCCAGCGTGACAAAGCTGCATGTGGCGAGCCAGCGCAGCACACGGAAACGTCGTTCACCTTCCCGCTAGTAAGCGGTCCCTATTTATCTACTTGCACCCGGGGGTGCTTTCGAACTGCTAGGTTGGCAGGCGCTGGGACCGAGCAACGGGAGCGCACCCCACCGTGGCGATTCGAACCGCCGACCTTTCGATCGGCAAGCCCTAGGCGCTGAGGCTTTTACCCACAGTGCCACCCGCGTCCCCCACAGCGCCATCCGTGTCCCCCATACCAGTAGAGTTACAAATTAGGAGAGCCACTGATATATTCAGTCGGTAGCAAATCACTTTAACATACATTTTATTAGTGGATGTGTGCAGGAAAAATACACATGAGATTTGCCTGTTACGAAACATGGCTGCATACTTCAAGTAGCTGGTTTATTCCAGTCGGAAGATCACAGGATTTTATTTTCCCGCAAACAGAGACCTTGCATCCCATGGACCACACTTTCACATCCCCTAACACACACACACACACACACACACACACCAGGAGCAGGAGTTCCACTTACAAGGCAAAAAAAAAGAGAAGGTTTTCACTGAAAGCAGCGGAGGAGCCCTGAGTCCTGGCCACTGTATGGGAGTGGAAATTTTTGGGATCTTTCTAACAGAGTGTGCTACGTGCTGTACAGCAAACACCTAGTCCTGCTGATAGCACTTAAAGTTTGCAACCATAGCCCAAAGGCCATTTTTTTCCCTGATGGCCCTAGTACCCTGCAACTCATAGGCAAACTTTTTACTTAGGGCATGTGGCATGAGACAATGGCTGAGTCCCCACTGCAGCTTTGAAATACATGACTCCCCCCCCCAAATATTGGGAACCATAGTTTACCCTTCACAGAGCTATCATTCCCAGCACCCCAGGATTCGGGGGGGGGCAGTGTGCTTTAAATGTATTGTGTGGATGCAGGGCCGTCTTAAGCATATCTGGCGCCGTGGTGCAAAGCTCCCTGTGGCACCCCCCCATTTCCCAGAGTTTTTTAGGGAGGACGGCGCTGTTGGCGGGGCTGGAGGAGGTGGGCAGCGGCTGGAGGGCGGCTCCTCCAGCGGGGAAGAGGTGCAGGCTGGATGCAGCGCCTCCCGGCGCAGCTGGCCGCTTCGTGCCGCGGTGGCCCTGGCAGACAGAGGCTCCGGGCGCGGCGCTGCTTCGGCACGGCATGGCGGAGGTGGGCGAGGGCGGCAAGCTGATGCCAGGAGGTGCCGCGTCCAGCCTCTGCCTCTTCCCTGGCACCCCGCACTACTAGCCTCTATGGGCAAGATGCCCTTGTGTGGATGCAGCCTGAGTGATAAGAGAGTCCACACATAAATTGATATTTGAACCCAGGCCTAGTCAACACTGTGCCCACTGCATAAGGAACATAAATGAAACTTATCTTTCTTTCCACATACTGAATTAATCTGAGGGATATATTTCTTCTTATAGCCTTTATTTCCCTATTGGACAACTATGAGACATCAACTGGTATGGCAGAGCTGGTGACGGCAGAGGAAATAGCTGAAAATAACCGCTTTCTCGATGCAGTGTTAGAAACTGATGTGATGAAAGTGAGTACAGGAGGAGTGGTAGGAATGCCTATATTTTGCTTTAGTTCAGCAGCACCAGTGCCCATTAGAGGTCCTGGGATTCTGCAACCTAAATGTACCTAATATATATGAACCTATTATAAATGTGTGTGTGTGTGTTTACATACATACTGGGCTTTGTTTCTGAATAAGACCTAAGAGACCTCATGTTCAAAATGCTGCATCTAGTTAAATCATTTTTGCTCTTTTGACATGTTAAGAAGATGGAACTAACCTGTAAGTAAATTTTTGATTGGCTATAGACCATGGATAGGCAAACTAAGGCCCGGGGGCCAAATCCAGCCCAATCGCCTTCTCAATCCAGTCAGCATGTTTTTACATGAGTAGAATGTGTCCTTTTATTTAAACTGCATCTCTGGGTTATTTGTGGAGCATAGGAATTCGTTCATCCTCCCCCCCCCAAAAAAAATATAGTCTGGACCCCCACAAGGTCTGAGGGACAGTGGACCGGCCCCCTGCTGAAAAAGTTTGCTGACCCCTGCTATAGACAGTACTGGATTTAAAGGAAAACTAAATAAGCTATAGTCAGTGTGTCCTTAAATCCGGTACTCTTTATTGTTTTCAATGTCCTTTCTATTAGAACTGGACGCAGCTTAGAACCTCAGCATGTCTTAACTCTGCCTTGGCTAAAGAGATCACTGACATTAGAGAAGGAGTGAATCATGATTGTGTCAAACAACAATTCCTCTCTGCTAAGGGGCTGGCTTTTACAGATCTCCGATTCCCATAAATATGTGAGACTTCACTCTCAGTCTTGTCTTCCTAGAAACTTTCTGAACCTTTCTTCTGCAGGAAACTCTGCAAACACTCTGAAACCTGAGGTTTATGTTAAGATTTTAACACCCCCCCCCATTCATGTCAATTTCATCTCTTCCAGCTTACCCATCAATATTTGGTAAAAAAAACCTGGACTAAACCAGATCTCAAGGATTTCAAGTCTCAGCTCTATGCTATTTGGTTTCACCTCTACTCCAGGGATGGAGGAAAAGGGTATGGCTGATTTTTAACAGACTCTACCATAGCTTGAATGATGTAATATCCAAATATTGTACAGACTTTGCAGCTCGGACCTAAAGAGTAAGAAAATACACTCTGTAGGAGGATATCAATCTTCTATGTTTACATGGGAAAGTAGAGATGTCAAGGAAATAAAGAGCTATCCGAGAAGTGAGGTTACAGGGAACCAGGCAGAGGGCCTTCTCGGTAGTGGTGCCTGCCCTGTGGAACACCCTCCCATCAGATGTCAAGGAAATAAACAACTATCTGACTTTTAGAAGACATCTGAAGGCAGTCCTGTTTTGGGAAGTTTTTAGTGTTTGAAGTTTCATTCTGTTTTTAATGTTCTGTTGAAAGATGCCCAGAGTGGCTGGGGAAACCCAGCCAGATGGGCGGGGTAGAAATAAATTATTATTATTATTATTATTATTATTATTATTATTATTATTATTATTATTATTATTATTAGGATCCTTGGTCTATTCCAACAGGGCTATTTAGATGTTCTTAGTGCAAATGCAAGAGCTTTTGCTAATCTGCTCTCTGACTTACTTAAGGACTCTTATAAATCCAGATGGTTCCAACTCATACACAGCAAAATCAGATCTATTGGTATTGACTTGGAACTCTTTTATAATTCAAGTGACCAATATATTTATTGCAATATTCAAACCAGATTAAGAGACATTGAAAAACACAACATCGAATAAAATTGGCTCCCCCAAGTTCTATGGTTTAAATGCAACAGATAGCAGGGTCACTTGTATCTCAAAATTAATAATTCCAGTCCAACACATGGCATTTATGTTAGCCCAACTGAATGTTTTCCCCTCAGCTTTTGTCAAGGGCAGATATTCAAACATCCCCAGAAATGATAGACATTGCGGATGTTCTTTGAATGTGTACACTGTACAACATATCCCTTGTACAACCAGCTACATAAACGTGTAACATCACGGCACAGTGAAAATATCAGATTCTATCTGTCTGTCCTTGAACAATACTTTTCCTTTCCCCACTCAACCCCCAACTCCCAATGATTTGCTTTGCAGACCTGACTCTTGCGGATTCGAACATGTATTTGTTGGGGAAACTAAGCGAGGTAAAGAGATCCTGGGACTGCACAACTGGGTGCAGTTTTACCTTCAAGAAAAACTTAGGCACATTGACTACAAGGGCTACGTAGCCAGGAAGAACAAAAACAGGGTAAGAAACAATTCTCTCTCTCTCTCTCTCTCTCTCTCTCTCTCTCTCTCTCTCTGTGTGTGTGTGTGTGTGTGTGTGTGTGTAATATACAGAACATTCTGCAACTGTTTATGTGCACAAATCTACGCCTGGGTTAGCAAATAAGCAATACACGTAGGACGTGATATTGGAAGAGTACTTTTAAAAACCCAGAGCGTCTTCAGGTAGAAGCCTGCTAAGCATCTTGCTTCTGATTTCTCTTGGTTTATACTTGCATCAGATTCCTCTGTCATTCATTCATTCATTCAATATCCACCCTGCTCTTCCTCCCAAAGGAGCCTAGGGTGGCAAGCGATAAGAAAGAAAAACATCTTGGGTAGAATTCAATGGGGTGCTAAACAGGGCATGTGCAGCATGGGGAACAATTTCCAGTCCCCTTGTGTGCCTCCTAAACCTATTCTGGGATCCCCCAACCCTTCAAAGCAGATTTAGGGGACACATACAGTAGGAACGAGGAGAGGAGGAGGGCGAAGTCCCGCTGCACAAGCAAACACAACCACTTAGTTTAACTCCACCCCTTCTCAACAATTCCAGGACAGATGCAGACTGGGAAAGATTTCAGCTTAAAAGAGATTTCAGCTCAGAGTCCGTTTATGGGCCCTCATCCAGCCCCAGATCCAGGGCTTGCACATCCTAGACATGATGCATTACATTTACATGTGTTTCCCCCCTAATTCCACCCCCCCACAGCCAATGGCTTCACTTCATCTGAGCATTCAGGGAGATGGGCTTTGCTGCCATGCTCAGCTGGGAAAGTGCCAGCAAAGCCCACCCCCCACTTTCCACGGTGCAACATCACCTGCTTCCTTCCCTGGCCCCAGAAATCCCATTGGTTTGATTCAGTCATAATTCAAAAGGCGTATCTGTTCTAATGTGTTGTGTGTTTGCTTTCAGCCCGATGAGGACGACCAGGTTTTAAGCCTTCAGTTCAGCTGGAAGGGGCTCGTGAAGCCCGTGGGCAGCAGCTTCATTGGCGTCAGCCCCGAGTTCGAGTTTGCCCTTTATACTGTGATTTTTCTGCAAGCAAATGAAAGAGTGACGCGCCAGAGGGTGAGAATAGAGGAATACGAACTGGAGATTGTCGTTTACCGCCACGGGCAGCACATAGGAACAGCCTATCCCATCCTCCTCAGCAGCGACAATGAAGATTTGTACTGATGACCTCGATTTTGAAGAGAAAATTATTTTAAAATTGCTGTGTGAGAATTTAAAGTTGCTTTTGCTTCATTGTATGTTATATTTAGAAGGGTACGTAAAACAAAAATACAGCTTTTTTTTTTTTACCTCAGGGGTATTTTATCTGTCTCTTTAGGATTTCAAAACTTTGCCTGTGTGAGGAATTTGTACTGAAATGATTCTACAGTTCACTGTTTCAAAGCTATGTGCTTAACTGACCTTCTGTTTTTCTCCTCTAGCCTTTAGGCAAAAGCTCTCTTGCCTAATCTCTCCCTTCTCTCACTGCACAGCTTCTCATGCCCCTGGCCTCTGCCCCCCCCATTATTTACAAAAGATCCGCTCCCTCAGTTGTGTGTTGCCGAATTGCCTCATGAATCTCAGTCTTTAGAAAAGCTGCTTGGTTCATAGTCCTGTTAACGCCACTTTGCATGTTGAGGGAAGTAGCGTTTGAAAGTACAAGGCATCTCCCACTGCAGCTTATACCATTTTCCTGAAGTTTCCCTAACTCTTATTTTGCACATTACACATGACATAAAAGCCACTTCTGGAATGTATTGGACTATAGTGCAAGTGGCCATTTCCCTATTAGTTTTGCACTGCAATTTCCCCTCCTTTTCCAGGGGTTCACACCACAGGCTGTGAGGCGGCACACTGGGATGCAGTTTCAAGCCTCACACCTTTTTTCATAGAAAAGATAAAACCTGCAAGGACAGCGGGATGTAAACTCAGAGGGACAGCACGAAGGAATGACGTGTGCGAATGGCATTTAGTGCGGTGACCTTTCTCCACAACAAGGAAGCATCAAGAAACAAGTCTGGTAGCAGCCAAATTCTTCCAGGGCCTGGTGGGTGGGTGGGCAAGCCGTGGGAGCCGATGGACTTTTAGCTTATAAATTAAAACACACAAACAAACAAAAACTCAATTCCATCCATTAAACCATCTGAAAAACTCTATTATAAAATGGCTTTGAACATTCTTTTTTTATTGTGGACTAAACACTACAGCACAATTCTACACAGTTCCTTTAGTCAATTATATCAACCAACCCTAAAGGAAGAGGTAATTATGACTGGGAGCATCAATTTCAGGGAGCAAATAGGGATTAGCAGCTGAGTCAATAAGGCAAAGCTGGTTCTGATGACTTTCCTGCTGAAAGGGGTCAGTCCTTTTTTTGGGGGGGGGGGGACTTGTTTTGTAACATTATTACAATGAAGTGCTTGAGAAAGAGACCTTGGCAGCCTGAAACGAATGCAGCAAGCATTTCAGACATCTTAACATGAGGTCAGGACTACTTAGAAACAGCAAGCTACGCCCTTCTTTCTCCAATTAAGGCTGGCACAAAACATTATATTCAAGGCCCCGGCTAATGGACTATCTGCCTTGTGTTACCTCATCTCCACCAGGATCAAGTGCATTTGTTCAAAACTGGCATGGATCCATCCAAGGGAGAATGTCCCTGAACATAATTGCACAGCTGAGAAAACTCTCTCTTCCATTAGGAGTGTGGTCGGAAGATACCAAAAAGGCTTTTGAGAGGAGGCCCAAGAGGCTGTGAGGCTCGTCACCCCAATTCTACGAGTATGTGAGCGGGAGGGTAGGCTGCATGCCTGAGTCTCCTAACTCCTGGATTCAGTATGGATTTGTAATGAGAATTTTAAGGTCTTATATATAAAAGGTAAAGGTAAAGGGACCCCTGACCCCCTGACTGTTAAGTCCAGTCGCGGACGACTCTGGAGTTGAGGCGCTCATCTCGCTTTACTGGCCGAGGGAGCCAACGTTTGTCCGCAGACAGTTTTTCCTGGTCATGTGGCCGGCAGAACCAGAGCAGCGCATGTGGCGAACCAGAGCAGCGCATGGAAATGCCGTTTACCTTCCCACCAGAGCGGTACCTATTTATCTACTTGCACTTTGACGTGCTTTCGAACTTCTAGGTTGGCAGGAGATGTTCACAAATGTACCAATAGATGTTCACAAATGTACCAAGATAAAATAGATAAAATAAATAAATGTTCACAAATGTACCAAGCAAACACATACATAAATATACAAACCACATGCCTGAAACCCACAGAAAAAGGCCTGAAACAGAGCCAAATAGAATTTATTCTGAACCACAAAATTGAGTAGAAAATAACCAAGTTTGCAGATGTATCTAAGCTTGAAAACAAAGGGATGTGAAAAGGGAAACTTTCCCTCTGCAGTAATTTGCAGTTCACCCAAGAGGTAAAAAGTTTCCGCTGCCCCAGCCTAGGAACTTGTAAAGAGTGAACTAAGCCCACCTGACCTGATCTGACCAGTTGAACCACTAGAGGAAGTTGACAAGTCATCAAAGGGGAAGTTGAAAGACTGTTTGAAGATCAGAGAATTGGTTGATTGCCAAATTGTATCCTGTGCATCCCGAGTCGTAAATTATGTAAAAAAGATGGGTTTTAATTGTTCCTACATCACGAGGGGCTTGCCTTTCAAAATGCATAAATAGTCAGGTCTGAATTGCATACTTTGCCTCAGTCCATTGGGACTGGGGACTGGCTGTACAGCTATATAAAATAAAGGCGATTTTTCCTCAAATCCTTGATTAAATTTTATTGTCTAAGGGACTCTTGCTTCAAAACCATTTTGTCTCTCCCAGGAAATAAGGCCGCCATCGGGGGTAGCAACAGAACTGAGTTCGCCATACTATAGAAGAAACTTTTTTTTTTTAAAAAAAATACTCTTCTCCTTTTAGATTCACCCCTTGCATCCTCCCAGAAAAAAGCACTGTATAGAGGTATAATATGCTTCTCCCCTTTTTATTTTTTAAAAATCCATTTACTTTTTATTTTCATTTTATTTTGTTCAGCTGAAATAGTCTTAATTTTTTTTAAACAAAGAACTCTTCAAGTGGTATAAAAGTGCTTTAAAAGTATGCTACAAATGTCACCTCTCTGAATCTCCCTCCCATCAGTTGAGTAAAATATATACAGTAGGTTATAAATAACCATGTATGTATTTGGATAATAATACTTATATATGCATATATGGAATTGTAGTTGTTTGCATATATAGCAGTATAATGTATGCATTTCCCACTCCCTTTTTATTTATTTTTAAAAAACCCATTCACTTTATTTCCATTTTATTTTTCCCCCAACTGAAATATTATTTTTTTAAAAATTAACAAAGGACTGTTAAAAGTGCTTTAAAAGTATGCTGCAAATGTCACCTCTCTGAATCTCCCTCCTCTCAGTTGAGTGAAATGGTGTTTTTGACTACCTAGAATACTAGTCACTCCAGAGCAGCTCCTTCTCCAGCGTTTGAAGGAGGCGGCCAGAGTGGGGAGTCTGGCTGGGGCCAGAGGCAGGAGGACAATGCATGTCACTTACCTTTGTGCCACAGGCTTCCCTGCAGCTGCACAGTGAAGTCAGAGATGCCTGCACTTGCCCCTCTCTCTATCCGCCAACCAAGGAAAAAGAGGCCTTAGGATAGCTCACCATCACATTTCCAGCCAGCCAAAAGCACTCAAGGAGGAGTGGGAAGAGGAAGCTTGGCCAAGTCAGAGTTCTGAGGGCCAGATAGAGAGGGATGGAGGGCCACATTCTCTAGTCTGGACTAGGACACCACAGCATTACCTTCTTCAGGCATTTCTGAGAATGTGCCAGATAGAGCTCCCCTTTGGTCCCAATGCTGGATTTGAATGTGTGATCAGCTGACTTGCGACTGGCCCCATTTCCCCACTACAGGGACGAGAGTTTGGTCTATTGGGGTTCCTACCCCTGTTAAACGCGCTCATCTATGGTCACTTCCATCCCATACATTCAAGGCACAATTCTTTCCCCAAAGAATCTTGGGAATTGTACTTCACCCCCTGCCAGAGCTACATTTCCCAGCACCCACAGCAAACTACAGTTCCCATGATTCTTTGGGGGGGGGGTAGTCAACTGTTCTTTTGGGGAATATATGGTGTGGCTGTGCCCTTAATCTGTATGTTCATAGCATGCCCTCCTGACTGAAGTCCACCATGCACTGGTGTTCCAGCCGAGGGGCTAAGCAGCATCTTCTCTGAAACCCTCTTGTGTGTGACTGAAAAAGGTGCACTGCTAGTGCACATTCTAATGTGCCACAAAACTGTCTTTTCAGTAACAGAACTCACAGGTACTCTTGAGCCAGCTAGCAAAATACTCCCATACTTAGCTGTTTCCAGCATGTTCCACTAGAGAACTTCTTACATGTTCTGATCTGCCTGCTGTTGGATTCTCCCACAGAAACTGGAAATCATAGAACTGCAAAGGGACCCCTGTGCGTCATCAAGTCCAAACCCTGCAATGCAATGCAGGAACCCTGCCCACAGCCATCCCTGGGTGGGCTCGAACCACCAACCTTCCAGTTAACAGCCAGACGCACTGACCTACTGTGTCATCCCTAGCTCTGACCAAGCAGCTGCAAACCCCAGATCACAGGTGCAAGACCAGATGCAGCAATACAGTGCCTGAAATTGTTTTCTGGTAATAGGTATTTGCACAAGCACAACCTATCCTGCCCATGCTAAGAAGCGAGATGGGCTCATTTCAATGGACCTCCTATACCTGGTCATGCCATTGTTATCCGGACCTGAAGGGTCTTATGTAAAGGCTGATAGTTTGAAAACTGGAGGTAGACACATTGCCCAGAATGAGGAGGCAAGCTAGAGTTAGCAGTTTAATGGAATCATGGTAGACCCTTATAGGCTCCATGTGCTACCTGATCCCTGCTGAGTTAGATGTAAGACTACCCTATGAGTATCTGCAATGCAGTTCCTTACTTGGGTAAGCAACTATAGTGTTGCAGAGAGCATGGTGGCTGGGACTTGCTGCTGGAGTTCCCCATTTATGTTCTCTGGCTGCCTAACCCCTCAGTGCTACAGGAATTGGCCTTAGACAAGGGTGTCTAATCAGAGCCTACATCAAGGAAGCATGACGCATGCTTTAGGACACCCTCAGTCACAATGAGCATCGCTGCTGAAATTCTGAACTGGTCATTACATAAATCAAGTCTACTTGTTTGTAAGTCTCAAATGCATACAAGTCCTGACTTTGATCCAATGAACTCTAATACCTGCAATAAACAGGTATTTCCGCTGATGCTTCAGTTTGCTCCGCGGCTTCTTCCTGCGAAGGTTCCAAGTCAATTGGCTATTATCACAGGGGTTATGTTTAGCTCATCAGGAAAGGGTGCATCATGACGCAACATCATGGTGCACAGAGTTGTAGAAGGGCACCGTATTTCAAAGAGCAGACTACCTAGCCTTATGTGGAATGGTTGAAGGAGTCGAGTGTGTTTAACCCGGAAAAGAAGAGACCGAGAGGAGATAAGATAGCCATCTTCAAATATCTCAAGGGCTTTCATGTGGACCAGGGAACAAGTTGTTTTCTCCTGCTCTGGAGGGAAGGACTGAAGGCAATGGCTTCAAGTTACAAGAAGGAGATTCCGTCTAAACATCAGGAAGAACTTTCTGACAGTGTAGCGGACTCCCTCGGAAGGTTGTGGACTGTGTCAGGGAATGCTATCATTGAGATTCTTGCATTGCCTCAATGTCCCTTCCAACTCCACAATCTCTGATTCTTCCAAGATATTCTATTCCACTACACAGGAGTCAGCTGACATTCCATAACTGCAGAGCATATTTAGTCTTCATTACACTGCTTCTTTTTTTGGAGGGGGGTGTTTCTCCTTAATCCCCCCCCCCCGTTTTATACTTCTGCCATCATGAAGGTTCCCACCCATTCCATGCAGGCAGGCACCTCAAACTGAAATTATTTCAACTGTAAACCAATTGTCCCATTTCACAGATGCTTCTCCATTTCTTGTGCTAGAGTTACTGACGTATTTGCCAGCTGCAGCAGGAGTATTTAGTAGTGGGAAAGGACCCCAAACTAGAGATTTTAAATATTTATTAGCCAGACTGGATTAAACAGCCTTTATACAACACAATTTGCATAAGTTCTCAAGATACGTCCTGTATACAATCACAAAACCATGACATGAATTTTATACATAGAGTGAAAATCGAGACCGATTTACAAGCATTTCTTCCCCTCTTTATACAGTTCGTTAAGTTCGTTTTGCTTGCTTTGTTTTGTACAACTTTTGGAACAAATTTTGTATCTTTCTTTTCTTGGAGGATTAGAAGGCAAAAAACAAAGAATTAATTAATTATTCATTCAAGTGAAAAAGAAATATTAATAAACCACCATTGACACATGCAACATTCACCGTGGAAATATATTACATCTCCCCAAAGACTACTGATGGTGGCTGTTGCATTTTAAATTTTATGCCCGGGGTAGTTGTTCTCTCCACTCACCCCCATCGCACCCTCTCCAATGCCAGGGATGCTGCTGTACATGTTGTCTGGTAGGATGATGGCACCCCATGCTTGTCAGCGACTGCTGAGCACCTGCACCAGCCACTTGACATCTATACAAGACACAGTTCACGTGGAGGGAGGGAGACATGCTTGGGACGCCAGGGGGAATTTGGAATCCAAACCTGGTTTGCTGCTCAATACAAAAATGCATATTTACAAATTAAGAAAACAGCTTTCTTCAGATCACCTAGTCCAAGTTCATGATATATATATTATATTATATATATATATATATATATTATATATATAGCACATATTTTAAAACCCATTAGTGTGTTCATTATTTTGTCAAAGAATTAATCAGAGAAAACATCAAAATGCAACTTATGATTTAAAGAGAGAGTATCCAGATTTTATTATTTTAGTCTAACAGCATCTTCTAACTGAAGAGATTGGTCCTGCATTGGAAATTGACTCGGATGCGTGAAGAGCCTCCTTCATGTGATGCCAGTAGATCCTTCAGTTTCTTCACCACTGAGAATATTTGATTATTTCCCCATCACATATAGATATATGTATGTACATATATATATAGACACTCAAGGGGGACTGTGGGCTCTTAGCAAGGGAAATAAAGCACTTGGTATAGTATCAGGTATGATTTAAATAAAAAGATAAAAAATATACTATTAACATCTGTATGAAATCTCCAGGAAACTAAACGCTAATTAAATAATTCTATATTGAGCAATATATAAGAAGTGTTTACATTTTACTTCTTCGTCCTGACAGAAAGAAGCAATATCAGCTGGTTACCAGCTACTGTACTAACCCTCCCCACCCGGCCGCCCCAAACAATCAACTATTAGGCATATAGAAAAGGAACTCAGTTTACAACGAGGTTCCTGGAAATGTCTCCCGTGTGCACATGACGAGGTACCCTAATTCTTCTTCTGTGTATTGAAAACAGTGGTACAAGTTTAAGTGGTGGGGCGGTGAGTGGACACTGATAAAAAGCCACAGCATTTATATTGCTCCTGGATACTATCCCTTTAAAGGATGATCATAACAACAAAACAGATCAATGTTTGTCACAGGAACTCACACACCTTGTTTGGATCCAGGAAAATAAAGCAAGATCTGGCCATCAGTCACAAGAACGAAGGAAAGAAACGATCCCTTTCGAGGAACAACCTATCATTTGTTAAATACACACACATCCTGTGCTTTAGCTCATACTTCAAGCTTGTTTTTTCATTCTGTACAAGGCTTTTTGTACAACACAACTTATATCTCTAGCTTGGCAGACTTGTGGGCAATATCTAGATCTATATAGTAAATATCTATAGCTCTATAGTAAATAAAGCGCATTGTGCCATGAACAATCCATACCTTTAAAGAAACCCACAATTGGAGAACATTCATCTATTCCAAGTTAAGAGGCCTGGCCACATTTAAGTGCTTCTGTCTGACAGAACAAACAAACAAACAAACAAACAAAGAAAAAGATTCTCCCCCCCCCGCAAAATAAAACAACAAAGAAGGAAAACAGATATGGTGAAGTATTCATACATTTTCACAAATACCCAAAGTCCCCTGTGAATTTTTTTCCTTTAAAAAAATAATTGCCACAAGAAGGGTTTTTGTTGCCTTCATTCATAAAAAGAAAACTGCATTTAAACGTGATTCATTGTTGCATAGAATGATTCCAGTACAACCCAGACATTTGGTCAAAAGGAACTTGGCACACTCTGCAGACGTCTTCAGTCTCAGCACTGATGCATTCGTGGCTCGGGGAACGTCAAACCCCTTCTCTAGCTCTTTGTGAGATGCAGGATACAATGAAGAGAGATTATAACCCTAATGACCTTCAACATGCTGTTGCTAGCAGAACCTGCTTTTCCTCACAAGCACAAATTCCCGCAAACATTCGCTGGTGCATTTGACTTGTGGAGAGCTTGGCTCCCAAGGCTTGGAGCACCATTGCCCTGGGACCTGATGGTTGGTGGCCGAAGTTGCTGAACTAGGGGCAGCTGAAGCCACAACAGCAACGCTGAGAATAAATAATTGCAAATAAATATCTGCTATTAACACAAAGCTGTTCCCTTGCTTCTCAATTTGTCATCTAATCCACAGAACAGCATGTGGCAACAGCAGTCTTGCTTTATCAATTAATAGCGATAATTAGAGGTTTACTAGCAAGCCTCCCACTTGGCGCTTGCTGCTGCTGGAAATCTCCATGGCAACCGCTATACGATCCACCACCTTTGTCATAAATTTTAGCAAGAACAAAATTGCCAGCCATTTGCACAAAATTGCATATATCACTTTTTTTTTTAAAAAAGAAAGACTTTGCTTAGCAATTGAAATTCGCTGTTTCAGAAAATACAAACTCAGATGCCATGAGATTTTTAAAATAAGGATAAGGGAGATGTGGTATTTGGTAGCAGGCAATTTCCACATGACACAGCACTTTGGGCAGGAGGGCAGCGCTATTGCTCCAAAGAATTGGACTGAAATTCAGGCAGACAGGAGACAGGCAGATGAAATCTGAGTAAGAACACCTAATTATGTTTGTATGCTCTCCTTCCTCCCAATCATTACCTATTTTACAGTCGGGATAAAATGTGCGGATATTTCTGGGGTAGCTCAGTCAGTAGAGCACGAGACTCTTAATCTCAGGGCTGTGGGTTCGAGCCCAAGACTGGGCAGAAGTTTCCTGCCTTGCAGGGGGTTAGACTACGTGACCTTTGCGGTCCCTTCCAACTCCACAATTCTATGATTATTCTGCACATAGTTGCTGCTACTGCTGTTTAACCATTTCAGCTTCAAGGAACAGTTTGGCATAGTGCAATTGCATGCCCATTGTCAATTAAAATACTGTAATATAAAGCAAATCAACACAATAAGGGACCAATTGTGTTTCCATTTTTTTCCCCTGGAAGCCACCAATGCAGTTTCATGTTCCATGCCTTTAAGAAAGCTTGTAGCTCACGGCAATGAATGCTGCCAAGTTAGGAATGGATATTCATTTTATATGCAGTATTTGACCTTACAATCCAAAGTCTGTCTTTCAATGATCTCCTTCAACGCTTTGTGAGCAGAATGTTTGCAACTTCATGCAGATGAGAAGGAGCCTGTAGCACACGGTCACATAAACAGCATCACTTGTTCTAACATGTGGACTATTTCATACAGTTGTAAGCAGTGACTCCTTGAAGTTCACAAAGGCAAGACAAACAGATAGTGAAGCCACAATATTCACCTCAGTGCCCAAAAGCCCTTAGAACCAACGCCATTTTAGCAAAACTACGGAAAACAGTCGTTCACAGTAGGCTGAATCGCAATCTCTTCTACACCATAAAAGCAATTTCTCTTTTCCTGATACGGCTCCAACTGCCCCCTTTACTCTTTCCAAAATGACAACTATTCTTGTGCTTTCTGTACTTTACAGTCTGAGATGGTAATTCTCCAAGACTAACATGGGAAAAGACAGAGATTACTATTCTCAATTTAAACGCGAAAGCATATAATTAGCAAAGAGAAAAAAAATAATATGAAAGAGAAACATTGCCACCATTTAAATTAAAAACTAATTACCCCACCATTTGCCTCCTGGGGCATCATCTCACCACAGCAAATATATTCTTACATTAAGACCATGGATCTTCAGATAAGCCTTCAGATAAGGGAGAACTGGAAAGGCAGTTGCTTCAGGTACTTTTGCATATCATGATCTCTTAGGAAATTGCACCGTGAGCCAGATTGCTCTCGCAGAAATATTCTGCCTCCAGCTGCAGCCAAATTCTCTGCATTAACACCTGCCTTCAACTGCATGGTGTTATTATTCCTCTTCAGATTCTAACATCACAGAACCCTCCTCACACAAGTCTCCTTTTTCAAGCAGACTCATTTTAATTTCTGGGCTTAGGGTGGTTGGTTTATTAAGCTCTGCTGATTTGTTTTTAAAAAACACAGCAAAACAAGTTGACTAGCCCTCATGAAAGTGTGCTAAATAGCCCAGAACTTTCTCCTCCTACTTCATATTCTGAAAGCCTAGCTAAACACAATATCAAAGTAGAGTCTTGGAATCCTACAAGCAGACTTTGCCAAGGCCTGATGGCCCAAGAAGAAATCTTTCCTCAATGTGTTTGTGTTGAGCTGACCAAAAGTTTGTGCCAGTTTACTATTCTTTTCCTGAGGTCCACTTTGTCAAGCCAGATATATGCCTCACCAATCAAGGTCTTCTTCATAAACTTTCCTCCATTGGAAACAAGCAGTATCTGGGAAGAGAACAGAGGGTTGGACAGTTATTCATCGTTCTGGTAAAAAGATCTAAAGCCCTGGAACGTGGGCCCTGATCATTGCTGCAGAAGGTGTGGTGTGCTGTCTGTTGGCTATGGGAACCAAGGTTGTGTCACAAAATGCCCCCAACACATATTGTGGCTGCACATTCCAAGGGACGATGAATGGCTTTGGACAAGTTGTCTGTGTCCCTGAGACACGTTTCCACGTACAGTGGTGCCTCGCAAGACGAAATTAATTCGTTCTGCAAGTTTTTTCGTCTTGCGAAGCACGGTTTCAGAAAAGTTTTGGAAAAGCTTCAAAGATCACCAAAGTCTTCAAAAACCTCAAAAAAGGCTACCACACCGCGTGCTATGAGTTGCTCCTCGAAGTCAAGTCGCAACTGTATTAACGGTTTTAAGAAAAAGGAAACCAACTTGCAAGACGTTTTCGTCTTGCGAAGCAAGCCCATGGGGAAATTTGTCTTGCGAAGCAACTCAAAAAACCAAAAACCCTTTCGTCTTGCGAGTTTTTCGTCTTGCGAGGCATTCGTCTTGCGAGGTACCACTGTATAGGTTGTCCATATACATATAATTTATTATTATACATGTCTGTTACAATGTCTATTATGATTGTATTGCAAGTGTGACCACCTCTAGCTGAAATAAGTTAGGGGGGAGTGGTATTTGTTATGTCACATTTATCTCTCTGTCCTGAAGAGCTGAGTTTGAGATTTCCCCCCTCCTCACAAGAACTCTGTCCACGAGGCTAGGCTGCACATTAGGCTAAGCTAGGCAAACCACCCAGAGACTGTCATGGCTGAGTGTGAACCTGAATTGCCAACACCCAAGAAATAGGCCTCCATTAGGTGGCCACTCATTGAACATTTATGCTTCCTTGTTCCATTTTATGAGGAACATCCTGCCAAAGGCTTCAGTTTTGAAGATCATACAAATTTATTTATTCTCTCTGCAAATTCTGTTACTGTTATTCTCTCTGCAAATTCTGTTCTGTTATTTATTCTCTCTGCAAATTCTTACAATTCATACTATCTTTTGATACTTAGAGCAGCCAAGAATGTTCTAAGTTGAGGAAGTTCCAGGCTTGAAGAACAAACACAACAACATTGGGAGACTGTTTATGTAACTCTCACACTGTAACATTTAATTTGCTTTTCGGCAAATGGCAAATAATTAAGGGTAAGTAAATAAGTAAGTGAGAGAAAGGGAGTCTCAAATGCCCAATGCAGAAAGCATAACATTCAGTTTGCATTAAGATGGAGGCTTACCTGGAGAGAATGCCCAGTGGGACTCAAACTGAATCGAAATGTTTCATTGAATGAAGGTTCTCGGTCATGCCTGCATACTCTTGTTTTCTTCTTAATTACTCTCTTTTGAGTTGCAAGGTTGACAACGTACAGCTTCACATACAGATCTGTTCAAATAAGCAGTTCAACCTGTCATATAGAACCTCATTAGGTGTCTTTGCTGCTAACTCATTTAGCATTAAATTAGTTAATGGTTATTTAAGATGAGGGAAACTTCTCTCTGCTGTTTCCCTCGATATCAAAATGAGGTAATTCCAGGAGAGCTGATGAAGTGCTCTGAAATTCAGAGCCCTGAAAGCAAATTCTTTCCCAATGAGTACATAAATTTACTAAATGAAATAGTTTAGAAATCTTTCATATAAGAGATGAAGCTGAGATGAAAAAAACTGCACATTATTTTTTTGGAAAATGAAACAAACCAGAGGTACTTCAACCAGAAACAGGTATTGACATATAATTATTCTATGCTATTTCAGTTCTTTTTGGATAATGCTACCTTAGAAAGGGATAGCTTTCCTGTCATAAAGAGGTTTGCCACCCTTGACTTGAAGCACTTTAAGTTTGGAGAGGAGTGAGATTTTAAATTTTGAATTCTGAGTCCCGTGATCCTTACAGTCCAACTGCTAAGCAGATCCAAAAATGTAAAAAGCTAGATGGCTAAATACATGGTAAAAGGGCCTCTTGTCTGCTGTAGGTAACACCTCCCTCATCCCTTTCAGAAAAGGCTGAAACTCAGTGTCAGGTAACATGCTTTGCATTCAAACAATCTCCGGTTCAGTCAGTCACTAGCATGCTCAGATTGGGCTGAGAAACATGCCTCTCTTAAATCCTGGAGAACCAGGCTGCCATTCAGCTCAGACCTGGGATGGGGAACTGCAGCTGTCCAGATGTTTTTGGATCACCCATGTTGGCTGGGACTGATGGGAGTCCAAACATCTGGAGAGCCACAGGATTCCCATCCCTGGTGCAGACAATACTGAGCCAGATGTACCAATGGCCTGACTTGATATTAGGCAGATTCCTATGGGAATCAAACTTACATAGAAGCCGCGCGCAATTGGCTGAGGTGTTTCAGAGCCTTTCGACAAAGCAACATCCCATGTTTTATATGTATGATGTTTCTCAGTAGCCATTAGGGAGGAGGCTGGTGAGTTATTTGCCATTTTGCATTGTTTCGAGCACAAATACCGTATTTTTTGCTCCATAAGACACAACTTTTTCCTCCTAAAAAGTAAGGGGAAATGTGAGTGTGTCTTATGGAGTGAATGGCGCTGTGCAGAGTGGGAGAACTGTGCAGTGCCCCTTCAGCAACGCGCCTGTCCTGCGAAGCCGGAGGAGGAACAGAAGGGGCTTCTTCTGTTCCTCCTCCCGCTTCGCTAAAGGGGCGCTGCGCAGCGCTCCTTCAGTGAAGCGCCTCTCCTGACTTCTGCCTTAGCTGCGTGCAGCCTCTTCGGGCAGGCGAAGCCTTCATCCCGCTGCCCTGAAGAGGCTTGGCACGGTTATCCAAGAAGACAGATCCCTCTTGCTGATCTGGCTTCTGGGATTCAGAATTATTTTTTTCTTGTTTTCCTCCTCCCAAAACTAGGTGCGCCTTATGGTCTGGTGCGTCTTATGGAGCGAAAAATACGGTACCTAGGTAAATAAAGCTCTTGCAAAGCACTCTTGGGAGGGAGCAATTTGTGCTGAGGGGAGAGACCTGCCAGAACTGCTTTCCCCAGGAGCAGCTCTCCTCACCACCGCCACCCCTGCAATGGTCCAGATCCATGTATGTGGCATTAACATGAGTCTCTGGGACCCTTCAAGGGGAAAAGGAATAGGAGGGGAGTTTCAGAGACATGGGGGCTGAATGGAGGAAGAGCATTATGTACCTGTCTGCACCTTCCATCTTTGTCGCTGTAAATCGCTCTCTCCTGAAGATGAGAGAGAGGCAGAAAGACACCCCCCCTTACTACTACACTTATTTATTTTTAGGAACACCCCCCCAACCATCTGTAGAGAAAACAAGAATGCATGAATGCTATAAGCAATGGATACGATACATGTGTGTCGATAACTAAAAACAAAATTGAAATCTTACCATCCTTATGGGTTTACCACTCATTTTAAAACGTATTTTATGTATTAAAATGCTGGTTTACAATTGATACCTGGTAAGTGATCTGGAGATTTAAACTTGTAGGTGATATTTCTGCACTGAAGGATCTCAACTATCAGCTGTTCCCCATCAGTCTTCATTTCCTTCTTTAAAGCAATCTTGATTTCGCCCATCACCTGGGTTTTACCTGTAAAAGGGGGAGGGGTCAGATCAGCTATAGCAAAAGGTGCACGTAAGTATTCCACAAAGCTAATACTTCCAAGTTAAAAGGAACTTTCCAAACAATAATACAAGTAATATAAGCTACAAGCTAGCACAGGGTCTTTATAGTCTTGGTATAAATGAGCACAAGATGTGGCTGTAATTATTTTTAGGGCAGACTCAGGAATTGACAGCAACTCCCCAGTTGGCTGAAAGGTATATTTCTTTCTTCATGCTTGGTAACTTGCCGAAGTGCATTTAACCTTGTATTATTTTTAAAGAGTTGCATTTGTAAGAAACGGTAGTGTATTGTTGTGTTGGCATATTAAAAACAAAATAGGGAAAAGGCTGCTTGCCTGATTTCTAATGGGATGGAGTTCTGCAGAATCAGGCCCATGAAACTGAATGGTGACGCCTCATTAACTCGAGTCATGCTTCTGACCCATGGAGGACCACAAGCCCCTTCAGATATCCTGGGCCTACCTAGATGTACACGTCTTCCTGTGAAATGACCCTAAATGTCATTTTGGGCACTAGCGGCACCTTTGACCCTTCGTGAACATAATTCAGTTTGGCATTTTAATTCCCTCATGAATTAAGCCTGCCATTGGAATTTCAGCAATGGGAAACTTCGGCAGAAAGCACTGGCTCAGTTGAGAAGCTTTTGATGCACTGTAGAGACTATATGGGAGTTCTGCCAACTACATTATCTGCAATCAGGTGACTCACAAACCACATTTATCACACTGAGTGTAAATGGTAGGTAATCTAATTTCATTTCTCTTCCAGGAACCAATCTGACTTTGCTTCCAGTTCTGTAGAACATCAACCATGGCATCCTTCTGAAGGCATACTATTTCCGGGATTCTGTTTCTGCCTGAAGCGCTGCTTCTATAAAGTTCTGTTATGGCACTATGGCTCACCCCTGTAACACCTGCGCCACAAAGTTCTGTAGGGTGCTATCTGGTCTCCCATGGGAGTTAGGCCACCTAGGGATTTGAAGTCACGTGCCACCATTGGTCACACCAAGCTCTGCTTCTCATTTACACCTGAGGCAAGTGAGGCCATGGGGATATTAAACAGGTATATTGGCGCTCTAGTGGATTGGATGAGGCCAATAAATTGGAGTACAAATTGGGTGGGTGGTTTCTCTGTGAAATGCAGCTAATTTTATTTATTTATTGCATTTAAAGGCCACTCTTTTCTCCAAAGAGCTCAAGGTGGTGTACATGGTTCTCCTCCTCCTTTAATCCCCACAACAATCATGCAAGGAAGGTTAGGATGAGAGACCACGGCTGGCTCAAGTTCACCCAGTGAAATTCATGACCATGTGGGGATTTGACGCCTGGTCTCCCAGGTCAGACACTCTTATCCATTGAACCCACACAATTAGGTTTGTATTCCGGGGATTTAATCCTAGAGCCCCAAGGTGCCTCCGGGACAAATCCTTCCCTCATCTTTGACTTCTATGGCAGCTGTGGTCCTTTCCTGGACAGTGCCACGCTGTGGTAACCTCCAAGTCATTGCAACACACAGCATGTGGGACTGCTTCTGGAGAATTTCAGAAACTGCAGTCACTTCAGACCAGGGGTAGGCAACCTAAGGCCCATGGGCCACAAGCGACCCACAGGGGTCGTTTAACCGGCTCATGAGCCGCCCCCAAACCAAGTCGTCCACTCGGCGAGTCCCCGTGCACTGCGCTAAACCGGTGCAGTGCAGCGCGGGGCCTCACTTCTGCGGTGCTGGAAATTGTGTCTGCACAAGCTCAGACGCCAAAAACCACGTCTGTGCAGACACAGACTCTGGAAATCGTGTTGACACAGAAGCCGGAAATTGTGGCTGCGTGTGCTCACGCATGTGCACAATCCGGCCCACGGAGGTGCGCAATCTGGCCCACAGAGGGATCTCCACTGAACCGGCCCAGGCAAGTTAAACCTTGCCACCCGCTGCTTCAGACTATAACTTCCAGGCTGATAATGGGGAATGGGCATTGGCTTTCAGCATAGGCGGCAACTCCTAGGGACCGAGGCAGTTTTGGACCCCAAATTAATTTTTTTGAGAATGTCGGTCCCAAAGCAAGAAAAATTGATGGACTATGCAGAACTGGCAAAACTGACATATAAGCTACGGGACAAGGATAACTGTGACTTTAAGGATGAATGGGAACCCTTTACAAAGTATCTGAAGATGCACCAAAGCGAACTGGACTCCTTGGCAGGTTTTGAATAAGCATTCACAAACTTTTTATTGATAATAATCAGCTAAATAGTTTGAGGATCTATACAACTTTGTAACATGCAGAAAACAGCATTCTTAGAGAAACCAAAGACTAGAACTGAGGGAAGTCGGGGGTGGGGTGGGGTGGGGGTGGGTTCTGTGTGGGAGGGGGGAGGGAGGAAAAATGGGGGGGGAAACAAGGATGATATGTTTTTGGATAATATGACTTGTTATAATTTTGAATAAAAAAAAAGAGGATGTCGGTCCCCGTCATGTTGCCCCTCCCAATCCTCTAGAGAATCTGGCCCCTCTGGCTTTCAGTCTGTTTCCAAGCCTAATTCAAAGCGCTGGCATTTATTTTATTTATTTTTATTTTCTTAATTGTATTAAATTTCTATAAATTTATATACAGCCCTTCATCACGAGATCTCAGGGCAGTTCACAGAATAAAATGCATGATAAAAACACAGGTAAACAATTAAAACAAAAACAACAAAACAATACCCCCCCTTCCCACAGACACATTTTAAGGGCTGTAGAATATGACTCAGCTAAAGGCCTGGTTGAAGAGGAACATTTTCATCTGGCACCTAAAGATATTTAATGAAGGTGCCAGGTGGACCTTCCTGGGGAGAGCATTCCACAAGCGGGGAGCCAAAAATTACGGCAAAATATGTATTTAAATAGGTATTTCATCTCGGTGTACACATTTCTAACCAGGGTATAGATTTTGCATTTAGATATGTGAAATTTGAAGGATAACTATGTTCTAAATCTATGCATTTGCCTGGGAATAAAAATTAGGTTGGTTCAATTGAAAAGGCAGACAGAACAAAATTTCCCTCCTTCTTGAATTGGAGCATATTATTTTCTCATTGTGAGTGCAGATTACTGCTGATTACTCAGTATCTTCGAAGAGTACAGCTGTTTTGGTGTCCTGGCATAAACTATAATTCTTCTCATAAAGTCAATCTGGATGAACATTTAACTATGTTGATGTCAACAAGAGTAGACTTTTAGTTGAATTGACAGGTACTTAATTAGTCTTGTATCAACCTGGCCTCTGGAAAGGTAATATAATGTGGCGTGGAGCTGTTCAAAAGTATTCACGATCCCAAATACGCAGAAATCCACCCAAAAACATAATGCAGGTTTTTCCTCTCCTCGCCGCCCCCCGCCCCCCGGGATTACCGTCTCCGCAAATTCGTCTGGGAATGATTGGAAAACCTAAATGCAATTTTCAATTTGCCCACAGGGGGGAGCAAGCCGACGCCACAAAACAATACTGTAGTCAGAAACCACAAAAATCAGCCTGCTCAATGTTCTTCCTGTATTTTGGCTATTCCCCCCTGATAAAAACCCCCTATTTTGAATTTTAATATAGTCCACCGTTAAGCCCATTTTGAAGTTGCTGCCTAGTTAAAGTATTTTGTGTGTTTGTGTTTAAATAAGGTAAAGGTAAAGGTACCCCTGCCCGTACGGGCCAGTCTTGACAGACTCTGGGGTTGTGCGCCCATCTCACTCAAGAGGCCGGGGGCCAGCGCTGTCCGCAGACACTTCCGGGTCACGTGGCCAGCGTGACGAAGCTGCATCTGGCGAGCCAGCGCAGCACACGGAAACGCCGTTTACCTTCCCGCCAGTAAGCGGTCCCTATTTATCTACTTGCACCCGGGGGTGCTTTCGAACTGCTAGGTTGGCAGGCGCTGGGACTGAACAACGGGAGCGCACCCCGCCGCGGGGATTCGAACCGCCGACCTTTCGATCGGCAAGCCCTAGGCGCTGAGGCTTTTACCCACAGCGCCACCCGCGTCCCCTGTGTTTAAATACAACCTTACAAAACAAAACTGAGCAGAACCCAGCACTTTATTTATTTAGGGAATGTAGCTCAGTGAGAGAGCCATGTATATGGCGCCAGTTTCACTCCTCAACATCTCAAAGTAGGGCTGGGTGAAACCACCACTTGAACCCCTGCACTGATAGCTTGACTCAGTTTAAGGCAACTTCCTATGTAATCATTTGTCCTTCATTAAGTTCTAAGAAGTATCCCAGTTTTCTCTCTGTGCTGAACATATGCTGCGGATGTGATCTAATAGTTTCACTCAAAATGGCTGTGTGAATTGAGCAATACATAGATACCACCTGGTGCCGCACAACTTTGCTAAAATGTGCTGGATCTTTAAAAACTGGAAATATTTCAGTTTGATAGAGAAAAGGTATGAGAAGTAATGCCTAAGGTCTTATCCACAAGTAGCTTTCGCCCTGCTCTTTCCAGGCAGATGTCTGCACTTTTAACGCTCTGTGTCCAAGCATTATTTTTGCCCTGAGCTTTCATGGCAAAAAACCTGCTCTGGATAGTAGAATCAGAGCAAATCTCAATTCAGGTTTTCCACAGATGGACTTTTGCTCTGATTGAGCTGTAAAGAGCAGGTTTTCATGGGGAAAGCTCCAGAGCAACAAAAAAGGGTGCTTGATTATGAAACTTTAAATCACGGACTGTGCCTGGAAAGAGCGGAGGAAAGTTAAGTGAGGACAAGTCTTAAATGTTCCCTATGGTTCACTGGCAGATGTGCATTTTGAAATTACACTCTGTATACATACTGACTTCAGGTCCCTCCTAAGTTCCCATAATCTGGTCAGTAAAAACCACTATGAAGCTGCTAACTTTTTGCCCAAACTCATAATTCTTTTTAAAACCCATGCTTCTTTTTTTACATCCAGCACAAAATGGCACCACTATTTTATATCTATTCTGAGTGTTTGCCTTGAAAG